AGACATCAGAATAAAATCTTAACCAGGTATTGTATTCAACCTGAAAGGTCTACATTCCAGCCAAGAGGCCAGTCCATTAAGCTATGTTACTTAGAATTGCCTTTTAACAGCTCTAATGCTACCACTTATAATGCAAGATGACAAGAGTGAAGCACAAGGTGCAAGGTTACCTGTAAAAGCTGCTTTTGTAGACAGGCTTTTCAGTTTAATGAGTTGCTATAAAGACTTTACAGCAGGAAGGAGAGAACAGAGGAAGAACAAAATGCATGTGGAAGCAAAGAAAGGCCACAGATTTGAACACTGTAAACAACTGTATACCTAATCGTGAAATTTAATACAACAGAATTTGGCATTTAAGTATGTTAATTTGAAAAATCTGAATTTATATTGCTAGAATATTTCTAGTTGACTACTGATTAATGTGCTTAGTTGCTTATAAAACCTACTCTTTGCTTCCTCAGATGCTCCTCCAGCCCTGCGTCCACACATACAGACTCAAATACCAGAGGTGAATTTAACCTTGAAACAGTGTCATGGTTTTTTACATTTATTTGTCGGGACCCTGAACTAAAAATATTCATCTTGTACAAGGAGAAGAAACGTACCAGGTGTATGAACCAACTCATTTCCATCCGCTCTCCACATACAGGAAGACATAGACAAAAAAATGTGTGCAGTTAATACAAGCACAGGTTCAAGATACTATAAATATACAGACCCAAAACCATGCAATATATATATAAATATTCACACACACCATCCCTCTCTAATTATCACATAGGCCTGGGCAGTTAACCAAAGTTTATTTTCAGTTACACTTTTGGCTTCCAGTGATTGTGAAAACAAGATAATTGAGATCCTTGTGCAGCACTGGGTTTCGGAGTGATGCTCTCATTTTGCCTTGTGTTATAAATCCAGCGCACCCCTTTTCTTTTCCTTCCCTAGAAGCTCTCAGCCAGGCTGTGGCAAGTTTAGTTCAGCCAAAGATCCTACACTGGCTAGCACAGACTTTTATCATCCTGTCACACAGTCGAGCTGTTCGATTACCATAGAAGAAGAGCTCACTGGCAAGAATTTCGACAGCGATTCTTTAGGGTACGAGCAGCAGTATTAACATCCTGTAGCAATGTTTTATTTGTAAAATCAGTGTGGATTGATAAGTACTTTTCACTGAACTGTCACTCAAAATTTAGACAGGTTTTTTTTAATACTGTATTGCAAGTTACACAATGTGTAACAAAATTACACTGGCAGTACGTACCGTTTACCCATCTTACAACCATTATTTCCCATCTTTCAAAACAAAAAACTTCAAGGCTTCAAGTTCAGTAGATGCAAGGTGTTTCAAAAATCAGAGTAATTGTGTTAAATAATTATGATTATGATTTTTCACATAATTGAGCAGCTCTAAAATAGACAGTGTTGACAGGACTGGTTTTGTAAAATCCAGTATTTGAACTTGCATGATTTCAGTGTTTCTGGTGCCTCAGACGTTCACCAGCGACACAACAGTTTGAACTTTTGCACATTTCCTCATACATGAGGTAGCGACTGCCTGGAGACAGCCACACTTGGACTGGAATAAGAGAATGATATTTGGAAGCGCACCGCCGCTGTACGTCCTTCTGTGCCAGCGTAGTGTAATAAACCCTCCAGTCAGAGCTGGGTATGTTGGTCGCCAGCTCAGTGTTCGAGAGAGAAGCTGCTACTTTGAGTCTGTATGAGTGAACAGGAGGTTAAAACTCTGAAGCTCAGCCTTTTCAAGGCTGTACTCATCTTATCAGCTCCCACAGACACTCAGCTGCCCCTGACCTGCTGAGTGGAGCAGTGTCGACCCATTCTTGGCCACAGTCATTTAAAAAAAGAGCTTTCAGAAAACACACTGAAAGAGAAAATGATAACAGATGTAGGGGGTGCCTCAGCTGCTCACACTGAGAATCATCCTTTCAGTTACTGAGCTGCATTTGGAGACATTTCAGGATTTTATTTTGATTAATTAATGAATTTACCCATTAAACATCATGAGTTTCTTTAGAGCTCATTTTTTCCGTGAAGCAGCTCATCCACGTCAGAACATCGATAGAGACTTTCATATATCAGGTCACAACTAACGGGAAAGGACAGAGTGTAGCTCCCATTAGTCGTAAATGATGCAGCGATGCCATCTGGGGAGCGTGGCACTTCCCTCCACAAAGAGAACAAGAGCATTAGAATTCAGCTCAGATTGATTGCATCTCATTTCCCCTTTTGCTTTTAATGAAAAATCATCACCTGAAGAGCCTGAAAGCAAACAGTCACAAAATGTTTTTTAAGCATAAAGTTGACCTTTACATAGTCAGGAGTGAACTCGTGGCTTGTGATAATCAAACATGGTGTTAATATTATACATATATATCCACTGCAAGATTTTCTGTACAAGCAAATTCTATCCTCTGTAGAACGTGTAGTAATTTAAACAGTGTTGTGGCTTGTGGGTGAAATGAAGCCCCATGTATATTTATTGTAAAGAATCATGATACACAAAAACAGTTACACATGGGCGGTGGGGGGGGGGCAGGCACAAAAGTCTCTCATTAATAAGAAACTATAATTAGCTGCCATCTCAGCTACTCTAACTGTATTTTTTTATTTTTCTACCTTTTCCTGCTGTGGGTGAAGTAAACTGTCCTTAAAACACAAAGTGGACTAACTACATATTTGATTGGATGAATTACATTTGACCTTTTGACACCTTCTTTACTGTAATGTAAGAATATTTGTTATTGATATGTGTAATTTCTGGGAAAATGGCTTTTAAATTTGCAGCAGCTACAAAACAGAGCTAGCTAAAGCTAACCTTATAGAGAATGTGAATTGAATTGTGTTGAATTTTGGGTAAATGCATCATGTTTTCAGCATCACACTCATTGTTACAGATTCTGTATATACACTACACAGTATATATATAAACAGTTAATTTAAAAGCATAAATACTATCCCATACAGCTACACACAGTAGCAAATGCTTCAACTACATTGAAACATCCACTTTAGTGTTCAGTTTTTACACAGAAAGGACTGAAATCGATTCATCTGCAGTGTTTGTGTCATCTACTGACAGCTGCTAGCTAGCGTTAGCTTCCGAACTGAGATCATTTTTCAGTCTGTCGCTCTGGTAGATGGGATCGCTAGGTCCGCTATGAGTTAGCTACAATCAGCTAAGCTTATCCATTCTGAATTACCACAGTCAGTGAAGTCAGATCTAGAAGTAGCTGCCGTCATAGGTTTGGACAGTAATGCATTTGGCCAGTGAATATGTTTGATATCCAGAGGCTATTTGATTACAACAATCATCTTCAAGGATTGCCAAAATAATGTGACCAAACATGACAGTACATGTTTTATCTTGAAATGTGAAGATTTTTTTCTTTGCTGTGTAGGAGTGTTTGACCATTAACCATGATGCAGTTGCAACATGCTTGCCATTTATTCTTGAGTTTTATGGCAAGTTGCTGCTCAGCTGAACAAGAGCCAGTGCAGTTTATAATCTCTTTTTGAGCCTGGGTGGTGCATCTGTCTCTGCTCATCCTTTTGTTGCTCTGAGCGCTTGGAGAGCCTCAGATGTAACAGTGTCCCCCTGAGGCTTCAGGCAGCACCTTGTCACCACAGACTGATTCTTTTATTGTTGAATTTAAGCTATTGTCAAGCTTGGATTACCACCCCCCACCCCCCTGTGCAACCTGTTCCAACACAGTTACAGACAATACGAGCATTCAGAGGAAGTGAAAGGCTTTTTAGATGTATTTTATTCTACAGTTGTTTCTCCAGGCATTACATTTGGGTTTTTATTCTCACCAGTCTGGATCTTCATCCAAGTACCATTGGTTACCGTTGGGTGATTTCTGTTGTGATCTTCTCCCTTACAGAAAGGCTTTTTTGCATTGTAGGTGCTAGAACCTTAGGGATAACTCCATTTTATTAAAACTTGGCTGTTATTTTCATAGTTGTATTCACCAAATTAATCGCTGAGACACTAAAAATATACCGTCCAAACTGTCCGTTGTAAGCATCTGTCACCATTTACAGGTCGATCTACTAGTTCATCGTTGACCTGCTGTGCTCTCTGTAGTTGTACACACAGTTTTCTTGTGTAGTGGTAGGAATGTGATTCATTCCATTGCTGGGACAGCTAGTGGAGCTACAGCTGCTCTTTACTGTAGTGAAGCTACACCAACACTACACTGTTTTTTAAAGCATGCAGCACGTCTTGCTGTGTCACTCCACAGACTGCAGGACATGCAGTAAAACGATGTAGCTCTGCTGTATGTAGTATTACCGTCGCTTTCAGTTTCACCTCCAAGTGAAGTGGATTTGATATTTGGGTTAACCCTTTATCTAGTTTACAAGTTGGATTAACTTTCAGCAGAATTTGATCAAATCTGAAACAAATCTGTTTAGGTTTAGTTTTCATTGTGGAAGCAGGAACTGTAGTTGGTAACTCATTGATTGGGAAAGCCAGGGACCATGGCAGTCACTTTAACAGTCCTTCAGGTACTGGAGGGGGTAGTGAGCAGCTCTGTGGTTCCTCTGGAATCAAGGTGATTGTGATGGTCTCTCACTGCATCAGAATATATTTACATAAAATTGTCCCAGCTTTCCCTTGTTGTGTAGCTGGGTGCTCAGTGGGGGCAAAGTTAAATCTCGTTGGCAATGAATAGCAACTGTGACTGACTCAGTGTTTGAATCCGTCTGTGTGAATGGCATCAGAGGTTCACACATCCTGAAGTAAACCAGCTATCAGAACCAACCATATGTGCCACCTCCCTGATCATTTGACTGCTTGTGCGTTGTGCCCTGTCAGACACGTTACAATGATGCAGCAGCGTTGCGTGTTCCCAGAGCCCCATCAAAGCCAGATGGGTCCGGATTCATCTCATTT